GTGCCAAAAAGCCGTCGTCCGGAAATCCAGACAACGGGGGTACCTGACATCCGGGGGAGACGTCCGGTCTCCGGACCATTGGTAACCTAGTTTTTTACTCATGATCGGCTACGAATTTGAACATGACTCCAAGGCAAAAGTTGCTTGTATTGTTATTTTACATAACATATATTTTTTCAGATTTTCCTGAGAACTTTTTTTCTCAATATTTTTTATGTTCGCGTTCGGAGGGCTTTGGGCGCTTGTTCGCGTTCAGGCGGAACATATTCGCGTTCGCCTCCGAACGCGAACACGGTGCTACGTAGATTTTTTCTAATTTCTTAAATATTTTTCCTGGAAAGATCATGACGAAATCTACATACCCTTCCATTTTCAGATTTCTTAACGTTTTCCTTTCAGCGTGAAAAATCGCTGAAGTTGGGGCAGTTTTCCTGTTGGGCCACACGTAGTAAAGTGGCAAGAGTGGGAAATGAGATGATTTGGCATGGCATTTATTTAACCACCTTCAATAAAATTTTTTTTAATTTAAATATTTTTCGTGGAAATATCACGAGCAAATCTACAGGCCCTTCAATTGGCAGAGTTGTGGAGTCGTCCTTCTGAGCGCAAAAAAATCGCTGAAGTTGCGGTACTTTTCCCGTTGGCCAACACATGCCAGAATGGCAAAAATGAAAAATGCAACGAAACGGCGCGGCATTTGTTTCAAGGTCTTTTTTTTTTTTTTCATTTTTCTGATATGTTTCCTGGAAAGATCACAACCTAGTCTACAGGATCTCAAATTTTTATATTTTTCCTTCAATTCGTCTGAGCGCTAAAAATCGCCAGATTTGGCGGTTGAAAATTGCGGGACTGGACCCGCCTGCCACACTGTGCAACGTTAGGGTTTGGACACAGGCACATCCTGACCTGCCAGCTGCCTGACGCCGGATACACTTCATAAAGAAGCAGTCCCCAAAAACACACAGGGACCCAGTCGACCCGAGTGGTTATCAGATCAGGGAGTTGCGTATCTCAAATATGTGCGTTGGTTCAAACCCTTACGACAACCATTGGCAATGGACTTCATCATCTTAATATGTGTGTGTGTGTGTGTGTGTGTGCCTGGGTGGGTCCGATGCCTTTTGCCATCTTGCCACAAACGGGGCCAGGGGCTGCGCAAAAAGCCACAACAGAAAAAGAAAAAAAATGTGGCCACGAAACGGATGACGCAAAAACTGTGACGACGAAAGAAAGAAAGAAAAAACACGCGGCCGCAAAACGGGCGACGTGAAAACCGCAAACAACAAACGAACAACAAAAAGAAAATGAATATCCACGCGGCTTAAAACAAACAAAACAAAACAAAAAAGAAAAGAAAAAAAAAGTCAGCGGCGGCCGCTTCAAGATATTCCATCGCATCTACACCCACCGCTACCCGGCCCCGTAGGCGCTCACTCACGTTTGCTGGCGCGCTGTGAACAAGCCATTACGCGCACCACTCTGCACGGGCCCCCACCCTCGATCGCTTTCATCTGCCAGCCCACACCAAAACTTAGGCCTGATTTCGAAGCGCAGCGGACCATCGACCTCCCCCCCGCGGCCAATGCCCCTTAAGGGATAAGAAGAAAATCAAATAAAAGACAAGATGACCTGTTGCGGCTTCGCTCGCAAAGCAAAGGAAGTCGCATGGCATTAAGAGTGTGGCAAGGGGAGGGGGTGGGGGAGAAAGAGGGCGTTGCGACCATTGCTGCGGTTTCTCACCTGTCGAATGTTAGCCTTCTTTTGGAAGGTGTTGTCTTACCTCAGGTGTGGTGTTTGAGATTCGTCGGCCTGCGCCACCGCCCCGTCCTCGGCCTCCGCCCACCTCCCCTCTGCCTCCCCCCGCCAGATGCTCTCTTTCCTCCCCCGCCTCCGCCACCTCCCCTCCGCCTCCTCCAATCCGCCTCCTTCCGCCATCTCCTCCCGCGATCTCCTCCCGCCAATTCCTCTCTTCCTCTGCCTCCGCCTCCCTATAC